GTCGCATTCCTTGTGTCAAGCCACTCTTGAACCACAGACAGCGTCAGAAGCGTCTTGCCTGGGCTAAAGAGAAACAGGACTGGACTGCTGGTGAGTGGTCCAAAGTCATGTTCTCTGATGAAAGTAAATTTTGCATTTCCTTTGGAAATCAAGGTCCCAGAGTCTGGAGGAAAAGAAGAGAGGCACTTCATCCACGTTGCTTGAAGTCCAGTGTAAAGTTTCCACAGTCAGTGATGGTTTGGGGTGCCATGTCATCTGCTGGTGTTGGTCCATTGTGTTTTCTGAGGTCCAGGGTCAACGCAGCCACATACCAGGAAGTTTTAGAGCACTTCATGCTTCCTGCAGCTGACCAACTTTTTGGAGATGCAGATTTCATTTTCCAACAGGACTTGGCACCTGCACACAGTGCCAAAGCTACCAGTACCTGGTTGAAGGACCATGGTATCCCTGTTCTTAATTGGCCAGCAAACTCTCCTGACCTTAACCCCATAGAAAATCTATGGGGTATTGTGAAGAAGAAGATGCAATACACCAGACCCAACAATTCAGAAGAGCTAAAAGCCACTATTAGAGCAACCTGGGCTATCATAACACCTGAGCAGTGCCACAGACTGATCGACTCCATGCCACGCCACATTGCTGCAGTAATACAGGCCAAAGGAGGCCCAACTAAATACTGAGTGCTGTACATGCTCATACTTTTCATGTTCATACTTTTCAGTTGGCCAACATTTCTATAAATCCTTTGTTTTTATTGGTCTTCAGTAATATTCTAATTTTCTGATATGATGAATTTGAGATTTTCATTTGTTGTCATTTGTAATCATCAAAATTAAACAAAATAAACATCTGAAATATATGAGTTTGTATGTAATGTATGAATATAATATACAAGTTTCACTTTTTAAATGGAATTACTGAAATCAATCTACTTTTTCATGATATTCTAATTTTATGACCAGCACCTGTATATACATACACATACAAACTTCCTAGCTGCCACTAAATTTGCATTATCCTACTCTGTGACTCATTCGTCTGATAAACCAAATCCAATTTACCCTTTGTAAGACAATAAGAGCATTTGACTGCTCTAAATTTGCATGGTCATATCAACAAGACAAGCCTCTCTGTGGGTCAGAACAATTGTTTATTGCGCTGCCACACATGCATCAGCAGTAAGATTTCAGAGGATCATCATTAGCTACAACATAATGACGAGGCTTTGAGTTTGTTAAGAGAATAAATTAATATGCTTTTTGAGGGTGTACATAGAGGTCTTCCACTGAAGTTTAAAATTGAAAAATAAACTGATATGATGAGCAAGTCCATGATATTTTGGCCCAGGAAATGTCTGGCTTACATCAGATTTAAAATAAAATAAAAAATACTTTCAGGGTTTTAAATGTATGATGACCTTTGGACAGAAAACCAAGCCAAATGTTTATTTGATGTTGTTCTGAAAGGCTAAATATTTCCTTAACAAAGCAGCTTAAGTAAGGAAGTCACATAATACAAGGAGTCTTATTCTAGCCACTAAAAGGCCTAGATGTTTATCAAAATTCCCTTTATTGGTTTGTTTTTTGGTGGTTTTGAGAACGTTTTACATGTTTAAGTAAAGCAAAATGAATAACCCCCCAAAGCACCAGACAGAAGTACCTATTGTGTTGGCATCATCTTCATCACGTTTTTAAACTCTTCATAAATTTGGGATGGTGAAATTTAACATTATCTTTTGTATATTACGCAGTAGTGGTAGTAAGGTTAATACTTCATATTCACAGGATAAAAGAAAAAAAGTGTCAAGTTATCTTGTTTATATCTGCGTTTTACTGAGCTAATGAAAGTCAACAATTTACAATGACAATATATCACAAAGAAGTAAAACTCAATTTACATTACTAAAATATAAACAACTTCGAAACTTAGTTCCGGAAATATTAGAGACAGCTGCAAAAACACGGGAGACATTTCTGTAGCTGGCCTAGCAATAACCTAGCCTTAGCCGTGTTAGCCTAACCGCTTCTTAGCTACCTTTAGCACGAGCTGTTTTATTTCAACTTTACAGCATCGAAGCAGGGGCACAAGAAGGCGGATAAGAACATATATAACTCCAACGAATCAAATTAATTAAAAAACAATGTTGAAAAACATATATTTTACACGTTTAATACGCTGTTATTCCCGCGCGCGGGGTACGCTGCGGCCTAGATAAACAAATCTGTCAATTAGTTTTTTTTTACAAACCGGGTAACGCAGAACTTCCTCCGTCCATCGTTGACACTCACTGTAATAACATTACAGTACGTAGATTTGCCGTTTGGGAATCTTCCGTAGGCAACGGGATTTCTTTATCACCGGCTCTATTCGATACCAAAAGACTTTCAGGCGCTAACTCTGCGTCAGTGGTCGCTTTACGTTCCGTTTGAAAACACCGTCCGGGCTGAAAGCTACTTCGTTACGTTCCGTTCCGCTTTGTGGCGACCTGTTCTTCTTCTTCTTCTTCTTGTTTTATTGGCGACTTGCAACCAAATGGAGCATTATCGCCACCTACTTGTTCTTATTTATATTTCCTTAAATCCTTAGGTTTAGTCCAGTTTGTTGAAGATAAGATGACATGATTTTAAGTACTGTCTTTCTGGATTTATTTGAGAAGATATTTTTAATGTCCAGTTGTTTGATTCCTTCATGTTCCAGTCCTTTCCTTAAATCTATTCTTTGACTTGCATATTTAATACACTCAAACAGCACATGTTCTATGGTTTCTGGTTGACTACACATGTCACATTTTCCTGTTGGATGCTTCCCAATAACATGCAGTGATGCATTTAGCCTCGTGTGGCCTAACCTAATTCTACTAAACATCCCCTGTTCTCTCCTGCTCTTCCCAAGAGGCTCTTCTTCTCCCACCTTTTGCTGTATCCTATATAAATGTCTTCCTTTATTTCCATTATCCCATAATTTTTGCCACTGTACCTTAATTTTGCTTCGTATGTACGATTTGATTTCTGTTTTGCTAATTGGTACTTTTACTTCTACCTCATTTATCGACAACCCCTTCTTAGCTAACGAATCTGCCATCTCATTCCCTTTAATGCCACTATGTGCTGGAATCCATAAAAACTGAACATCAATCCCCAGATTATGTACTCGGTATGATAACAAATTTTCTAGCATAATATCCTCCCTACATTTAGATACCGTATTTTTAAGACTAGTCAATGCTGCACTTGAATCTGAACATATTAATATTCTCAGGGGTTTGACTTCCTCTATCCAGTATAATAGAAATGATCAGTTAATCTTTTAAACACCTTAACTTTTAATTCAGGAATGTAAAATGCACAACTTGTTTTTCCATTCTCTGGATTTTTTGACCCATCAGTGAATATATGTACATAATACCCATATCTCTCATGAATCAAAGTGTTCACATAAGTTTGTATACTAAACATGTTATTTCTTGAATTTATCTTCTTTAATAAAGAAAGATCAACATTAGGTTGAGGTAGTAACCATGATGGTATAGCTGGCATTAAGACAGTTAGACTAACGTCCCAATTATTGATTTCTAACTCCTTGATTATCTGAATAATTCCCTTACTAAATACCTCCCGTTTAATTTTACTGCTTTCCCAACTTTCACTTAATACTCTTCTTGTTGGATGCATTTCTTTTTGACTTTGTAAATTAGTCCAATAATTTGCCCTCAACTGTTTCCTTCTAAGGCTTAATGGCATTTCTCCAACCTCCACCTGAAGCGCAGATATTGGAGTTGATTTTACTGCTCCACAACATATTCTCAACGCTTGAGCCTGAATTATGTCCAACCTTTTTAAAGATGAACTAGCAGCTGAATCAAAAACAATACAACCATAATCTAGAACTGATCTAATTAATGCAATATATACATTTTTCAACGCCATACGATCAGCTCCCCATATACTTCCTGATAAACACCTTGTGATGGACCGAGTTAAAAAAACAGGAGGAGTCACAGGATATTAATTAGAAAAATAGGGTTTTTTATTTTAACCCAAAAAATAGATGACAAAAGATAAACTGAGCTCATAAAAGAGGTCAAAGAAACAAAACTGAACTCAGGCAAAAATGTAAACAAACTGGCTGTACAAACAAACATAACTGACCTACAAAGAAATGACAGACAGGGGTATATATACTGGCTGATCAGACCAATTTAGACACAATAGGGGTAACTAAACAGAATACAATTACAAACAAAACAAATAACAGTACAGCTAAGTTTGACTAAACTAAAGACTCACAAAATGAAAATCAAAACCATTAAAGTCCAAATACCAATATTCACCTAAATGCAAAAACTCATCTAAAGAAGGAAACTACACATTCCCCCGCCAGCAAGGACCAGTGGTGCAGTCCAATCAGCATCCAAATTTGCTGAGCCCTGGCCCCCCCATCTTTTGTCAGCTTCAGAGTGTGGCCATGGATTTGGCCATCACACACTCCCCCACTTCCTGATCTTCCCTCTGGCTCCGAGAAAGGTAATCAGCAGTGGTGTTGTCCTTGCCGGGGATGTAGTGAACCTTAAACCGAAATGGCTGCATAGCAAGGTACCATCTGGTGATTCTCCCATTAGTGTCCTTCATTCTTTCCAGCCACTGGAGGGCTCTGTGATCAGTCTGAAGTGTGAATTCTCTTCCTAGCAAATAATATTTGAATGAGTCAAGGGCCCATTTAATAGCCAAGGCTTCCTTCTCCACGGTTGCATAGCGCCCCTCTCTTGGCAGCAGCTTGCGGCTGATGTAGGCAACTGGATGTTGGTCCTCCGGTGGTCCCTGCAGAAGCACTGCCCCAAGGCCTCTTTCAGAAGCATCAGTCTGCAACACAAAGTCTTTTGCAAAATCAGGTGAGTGCAAAACTGGATTCTTACTCAGAGATTGGCTAATGTCCTTAAATGCTGCAATAGCCTCTGCTGTCCACTGAATTTTAGTGGGACTTCTGGAGCCCGTCCTGTCTGTTAGGAATGCTGCTCTAGCTGAAAAATTAGGAATGAATCTGTGGTAGAATGCAGCCATGCCAAGAAAAGACCGCAGCTGTTTCCTGGTTTGTGGGAGCGGACAGGATGCTATCGCATTGATTTTATCAACTTGAGGTTTCAGAGTACCACCTCCAATGGTGTACCCCAAGTACTGTATTTCTGTCCTGGCAAGAGCACACTTTGCTGGATTGATGGTAAGGCCTGCTAAACGCAGCCGATCCAGGACCTCCTTTAGATGGTGAACATGCTCTTCCCAAGTTGCACTGAAAACCACAACATCATCAAGGTATGCACAGGTGAATGCTGAGAGCCCAGAGAGTACCTGATCCATTAGTCTTTGAAATGTTGCTGGGGCCCCATGGAGACCGAATGGCAGGACTGTGAACTCGAACAATCCCCAGGGGGTGCGAAACGCTGTCAGCTCCTGGGACTGTTTAGTGAGAGGCACCTGCCAGTACCCCTTAGACAGATCAATAGTTGTTAAGTATCTTGCTGCCCCCAGGTGCTCAATGAGGTCATCAATACGTGGCATTGGGTAAGAGTCAAATTTTGATATAGAGTTGAGGTACCTGAAGTCAATGCAAAATCTTATTTTGCCATCCTTTTTCGGAACCAACACAACAGGGTTGCACCACTCACTTGTTGAAGGTTGGATGATTCCTAGAGACAGCATGAGGTCCATCTCCTCCTTCAGCTCCACCCGGAAGCGTTCGGGTATCCTGTAACTCATACGCTTTATGGCAGCATCTGGTTTTAAAACAATGCTGTGCTCCACCAGAGTGGTGCGACCTGGACACTCTTGAAATATGTCAGAAGTAATAAGAGGTGTTACCTGAGACTGTTGCTCGCTGGTGAGATGGCTTAGGTCCAGCACAGAGGATGTTACTGAGGGCAAATAGTCATTAACTTCTTCCTCCTCCTCCACTCTGTGAATAAGCAACACCTCAGTTTCATTCTCCTTCCTTGGAACCCACTCCTTGAGAAGGTTAACATGGAGCACTCGACTCCCTCGCTGGAGACCTGGTGTAGAGACTTGATAGGTAGTAGGTCCAGTTTTCCTCAGTACTTCAAAGGGTCCCTGCCATTTTGCTAGCAACTTGCTGTCAGAAGTTGGCAACATTACCAAAACCTTCTGGCCAGGAGCAAAACTTCTGTGGCGAGCTTTCTTGTCAAACCAAACCTTTTGGTGTTTCTGAGCAGCTGCCATGTGACTCTGAGCCAACTCACTCATTTGCTGCAGTTTATCCCTCATATGGAGAACAAATGAAATAATGTTGACTGGATCCTCTTTACTCTGATCTCCCTCCCATGCATCTCTTAGCAGGGTCAGAGGGCCCCTCACATCATGACCATAGAGGAGCTCAAATGGGGAGAAACCAGTGGAAGCCTGAGGAACCTCCCTGTAGGCAAAAAGGAGGTATGGCAACCACTGGTCCCAATCAGAGCCTGTATCATTCACAAACTTACGTAGCATTTGTTTGAGAGTTTGGTTAAAGCGCTCTGTCAGGCCATCCGTCTGTGGGTGGTATGGTGTTGTCCTCATGCTCCTGATGCCCAACAGCTTATAGACCTGTTTCAAGAGTGTGGACATAAAGTTAGTGCCCTGATCGGTTAAAATCTCCTGTGGAAATCCAACCCTTGAGAAAAATTGAACCAGTGAGGAAGCCACATGTTTTGCTTTAACAGTCTTTAGTGGAAAAACTTCAGGATATCTTGTTGCATAGTCTGTGATGACAAGCATGAAGCGATTTCCAGATTTACTTTTTTCCACCGGGCCCACTACATCCATCCCAAGGCGTAGAAAGGGTGTACCAATAATGGGAAGGGGTTGAAGTGGTGCTTTGCTAGGGACTCTCATTGAGGTTTTCTGACACTCAGGGCAGCTTCTGCAAAATAAAGCAACATCTGATCTTAAACCAGGCCAGAAAAAATATCGCTTGATGCGAGCAGTGGTCTTATACTTCCCAAGGTGGCCAGCCCAGGGAATAGAGTGTCCCAAAGTCAGCACTGTTTCACGAGCCTCCTTAGGGACAACTAACTGCTTAAACTGGCCATGTTGATGATATAAAATGCCATCTTGCAGTATATACTGCTCTTTATTTGTGTCAGATCCTACAGAGGCCTCCCTCCTAGCCTTCAGCAACAGGGCAAATAAAGTTGGATCATTCTGCTGCATTTGTCTGATGTTTGTGGGTATTGAAAAACCCAGTGGCATATCTGGAGCCACTTCAACTGAAGTCTCACCCAATGCATGTTGAAATTTCTCACGCCTTCTTTGACTGCGTGGCTTCCGAGACTTCCCAGGTTCCGTCTGCAACTCAGCCTCGAAAAAAGGTAAAGCACTAAGTGTTGCAAAATGCTCATCTTGATTTTTAGCTTGGGCTCTGGTTACAGCCACGTTACAGCTCTGCACATCCCTCAATAAGTCATAGATGACAGGCAGATCCTCCCCCAAAACTACAGGATAGGGTAGGTTATCAGCTACCCCAACCTTCAACAGATAGGGAGCTCCCTGCACCTCAACAAACATATCAGCAGTGGGGTATGATTTCTCATCACCATGTACACAGCGAACTGCTATCGTTTCAGAAGGGCATATACAATTAGTTGGTACATGGTTCTTGTGCACTAGAGTCTGTGTGCTGCCAGTATCTATTAAAGCATTTATTTCATGCCCAGCAATCTTCACTGTAATGATTTTACTTGACTGCTTTATTTCAAGTTTAACATCCACATTCTGATGAGGCACAAAACACACTTGAGTTAGCTTACTCTGATTCTTAGGGCACATGGGTTTGGTGTGACCTTCTTGTCCACAGAGGTAACACACTGGAGGCCTTTTTCCTGCCTTAGAAGGCTGGTTTTCTCCTAAAAAAGGCTTACCCCCACCCTTTGCTAGCTTCTGATGAGGCTGATAAGGTGGTAACCGACGTGAATCTTTGGCAGCTCTCCATGCACTGTTGCTCCATGGCTGACTCCTACTTCTGGCAGCCACAAACACGTCAGCGAGAGTAGCAGCTTCTGCAGCAGACTTCGGATCGTGCTCCTTGATCCAAACCTGAAGCTCAGGACACAACATTCTCAAAAATTGTTCCAGAATAATCAGTTCACCAACTTGTTTCACAGTTTTATCTTTAGGCTGAACCCACTTCTCATAAAGTTCTTTCAGCCTTGAATATAATTCTTTTGGACTCTCATCAAGAACATCAAGGCAGCGAAATCTTTGTCGGTAAGTTTCTGGATTTATATCATATTTTTGTAAAATGGCAGCTTTTACCTTTCCATATTCCAGGGAATCATCCACATCCATGTTAACATAGGCACAGCGAGCCTTACCCGTCAGAAGAGGAATGAGATGGAAAACCCAGTCCGATTGTGGCCAACGATAAGCAGCTGCAATTCTCTCAAATGTGGTCAGAAAGTGCTCAACATCATCTTCAGCAGTCAATTTTTCCAATTTAGGATGAGGAAGGTGCACAGACTGACCTGTTGAGCTGAAAGCTGAATCCTCAGGTTGAGATGTTTTTGAATCTATCATTGAGTTGTAACAGGTGTGTCAGTTGATGTGGGCTCAGGGGCGGGTTGTCACGGACTGTAATTTCCATCTAGCATAACAGCCAAAACTGATGGTTGGAGCTCCTAAAGCCTGGTTCTTGTTGTGCAGTAAACTTGCTCTCTGCTTTTTCTCCGAACTTCCTAGTTTACTCCATAAAGCCTAACAATCCCCAGCAAAATATTCATCAGAGTTGGCTTCTGAGCTCTCCTCATCAGCTTCACTGCATGCTGCTGAAGCCTCCTTCTTTCCTCTCCTCTGATTGCTGAACCTCTTGTCTCCACTTATTTCCTTTTCTTGCGCAGACGTTCTGCATGCTCAAAAAGTTTGTTGGTGGGGAAAAATTGCTCACAAAAAAAAAAAAAAAAAAAAAAAAAATCCTGCTCCTCAACCAAAATCCTCACTCTGACACCACATTATGACAGTTAAAAAACAGAGGATCACAATATTTATTAGAAAAATAGGTTTTTTATTTTAACCAAAAAATAGATACAAAGATAAACTGAGCTCATTAAAAGAGGTCAAAGTAAACAAAACTGAACTAGGCAAAAATGTAAACAAACTGGCTGTACAACAAACATATCTGACCTACAAATAAATGACAGACAGGTTTATATACTGCTGTATCAGACCAATTTAAACAATAGGTAACTAAACAGATCATATTACAACAAAACAAATAACAGTACAGCTAAGTTTGACCTAACTTAAAACTCACAAATAAAATCAAACCATTAAGTCAAATACCATATTCCCTAAATGCAAAAACTCATCTAAAGAATTTTATAAACACATTCCCCCGCCAGCAAGGACCTGGTGTATGTCTCAATCACATCCAATTTGCTGAGCCTGCCCCCATCTTTTTCAGCTTCAGTGTGTGCCATGATTAGCCATCACACACCTCATAATATTCAGTACTTTCTTACAGTTTTGGCGACCTGTTGAATGACCTAATTGTTTTTGAAGAATAGCCCTTAGATAGATAAAACTATAATAAGATAGGGTCAAACGTCATTTACCTCCAATATAAAATATATAAGGATTTGAAAGTTGCAGAACAATATATCCAAAAACCAATATGTTAAACAAATAAAAATTTATATGAAATAAGCATTTCCACTTAATACACAGAACAGACACTGCTACCAGTTCATTTAAATGTGCTTAATGTTTTACACACTTGTATTAATATAGTTACTACATATGATCAATTTACCGAAATAATTATACTTCATTAATTAATAAAACCAAGCAGCTGGATGATTATGGATCTCCCACTATCTTTGATTGGCAGAGTTAACTCATCAAATTACTATACTCCTAATTATTTACTTATTCCAATCGTGTCCCCTAAAAGTCCAATATTTTTTTTAAGGTTTGGATCAAGCATATCTCGATTTTTATGGTAAGAATTCCCCTGGTAACTACTTAAGCACAAACGCGTATTCATACTTTTCAGTTATCTTTGATGCATTTTGTAATAGATTTGAATATTCTGATAGTAATTGTTTAAATGTACCTGTACTGAACTACTATCATTGATGAAAGATTTATCCTGCTTCTTTTCCATGATTGTCTATCTACTGTTGCTTCTGGTAAAAATCCATGGCGGTATTATGATGTTGGTGTTGGGATGACTAATTTCCAGATTATTCAGTTAAAATTCTTTTATTTTATTTTCAATTGTCCATCCAAGACCCCATATCTTTTGTTTCTTTTTTCCAACATGGTTTTAAAATTTCCATAGCTGGATGATCTGAATTATTGCTCTGCAAATTTAACCAATAATTTAATTCCAAACCCTTTAATCTTCTTAATTCTAATGGCATTTCTCCCATCTCTACTTCATTGCTGCTCTTGGTGTGGTTTTTAAACGCTCCAGAACCCCAATCTTAAGCATTGAGTTGTATTACCTTAGTTTTAACCAAATGTGCTTTTGCTGCTGAACCGTAAACAATACAACCAAAATCTATGTTAGCTCTTATCATACCTGTATAAACCTGTTTCAAAGATTGCCTATCTGCTCCCCAATCATTTCCAGCCAAACATCTCAAAATATTTAAGATTTTCTTACTTTTATCAACAACTTTCTGGATATGTACATTCCATTTTAGTTTATCATCAAACCATAATCCTAGAAATTTAATACATTTTACTTGCTCTAACTCTTGCAGGTTGAGATGTTGTTTGAATCTGATCAATTTGAGTTGTAACAGGTGGTGGATCAGTTGATGTGGGCTCAGGGGGCGGGGTTGTCCTGGCCTGTATTTCCATCTGCAAAAGCCAAAACTGATGTTGCAAGCTCCTAAAGCGCTGTTCTTGTTGTGCAGAAACTTCTCTCTGCTTTTTCTCCCGAACTTCCTGTTGTCCCATGAAAGCCTGAAGAATCCCAGCAATATCATGCAGAGTTGGCTCTCTGGGCTCCTCCTCATCAGTGGCTTCAGCTGCTGCTGCTGAAGCTCCTCCTTCCATTTCCTCTCTCTCTGATTGCTGGGAAGCCTCTTTGGTCTCCACCTTATTTCCTTTTCTTGGGCGCAGACCGTTCTGCATGGCTCAAAAAGTTTGTTGGTGGGGGAAAAATTGCTCACACAAAAAAAAAAAAAAAAACAGAAAAAAAATCCTGGCTCCTCAACCCAAAATCCTCACTTCTGACACCACATGTGATGGACCGAGTTAAAAAAACAGGAGGAGTCACAGGATATTAATTAGAAAAATAGGGTTTTTTATTTTAACCCAAAAAATAGATGAC